GCCCAGCTGTTCAGGTTCCTTGTGCCTTTCCAGAGACAAAACAGGAATAATAGCCATCATTAATTATGCATGGGGCCCCAGGCGGTCAGCGTGGTGGGCTGGGCCTCCCTCCCACCGCAGTGCTTTTCTCCATGGCCAGCTGCACTGGGGCCAGACTCAGGACCCCCATTAGGCGGCATGCAGGTGGGGAGCAAGCCACTAGACCCAGGTAAGGGGATCCTGGGTCCTTGGGGGGAGAGGGTCTGTCACCGGTCCCCGAGTGGCGGAGAAGAAGGGGGCTACAGCAGAGCCAGAGCCTTGGCTTTACTGCCCATGAATCCTCATTCAGAACTCACTGTGTTCCTCTACAAAATGGGCATAATGCCATGCTGTCCCCTTGGCAGCACAGGAAGCCAAGCCAAGGTTTTGTTTGCCTTGGCTCCTTTCCTGACATCTTGTGGCCTGGCTGAAGGGAGGGTATTAGCCTGCGTGACAATCATCCAATCTGCATCTTCTAGGTAGGACCTTGCTCCAGGGAGAACCAGAAGGCATGGAGCTCTAGTTGTGGGGTCTAGGGTTGTTCTGCCCCCATACCCTACTGTCTAGGAAAGATGGGAGGCCTGGGGACCTCAGGCCGAGCTTAGATCCCAGGCTCTAGCCATGTGTTGTGTGAGCTGGCTTGTCTCCTGGGGTGCCACTGTGTAGCTTGGGGACAGCTCCCTGTGTCCTGTTCTGTCAACATCTGGTCAAATCCGGGGCCATATATCTAAGCCTGTATGTAAGAGGGGATTGCAATTGCACATTTAGGTTAGTGTGAAATGTCAGCTAACCATAACCCTTGGCTGGGGAAGCCCCTTAGATCCCCACAGTCTCTGAACTTGTGCCAGGGTGTAGCTTAGGACTTTGTTCCTGCCTGTCACTTTGTTCCCTCTACTGTGGCCACCACTGGAGGGAACCCTGCAGGCTCCCTCAGACCTGTTTCTAAGCAACAGGGCTGTAGCTAGTCCCAGACTCACACCTGGGACTGCAGCTATACAAGACTCAGGTGCATAGGCTGGGGGCAGGTAAGTGCTAGTGCTCTTGCCTAATAAGCCTAAGGTCCCAAGTTCAAATCCCAGTACAGAGGAGAAAAAAAGAAAAACCTACAAATGAGCCACAAGAAACAAACATCCACCTATATAGTCTGTGTCCCTTCATTCTCTAGTTCCCTCCTCTCAGAGTCCAGGGTTCCTCTCTTGAGAACCTTCCTTTGGTAAGAGCCCCATGTCTTCCTGAAGAACTGAGTGTCCTCAGGCTTTCCTGGAGCCTCCTGCCTACTCTTCCCTCCTTTGCTCTGCCCCAGTCATGGAGGGAGCCTTGAACCCCACGGCTCTTCTCTCTCCCATACCTGGATGAGTTCATCTGGTTTGTCAGCTGGTCTGTTATGATCATCCGGGCTGCCATGACAGAACACCAGACTAGGTTTTCCTCACAGTGCTGGACACCGCAAGGCCCATTTCACTGTGTGAACAGATCTGTCTCCAAAGGCTACCCTCACTCTTGGCTTCAGACAGCAACTTCCTGCTATGTCCTCTGTGGCTTTTCTCTGTGCACCTCCCTATCCCCCACAGGCAGAGAGCCCAAGACATCCCTCTGATACCTGCCTTTCTTGGTTGAGCTTCCCAGATCCCCCAACCCCAAGTTTTCTCACCTATCCAGACAGCCCTCTCCAACCTACCACTGAATGGGCTTCTCTGTTAAACAGCCTTCACTTAGAAGCCACGTTTTCTTGGCCTTGTCAGAGGTGGCTGGCTGAGACTCCTCTTCTCTCCCTGCTTCTTCCCTCTTTCTCTTTGTTCCTCTCCTCCCTCTCTTCCTCTTTTCTTCCCCTTCTCCTCCCTCCCACACAGGAATAGAGCCAGGACAGTCTCCTGCTCACTCTGTCCCTCTCCTAGGTAGTCCTCTACCACCTGCCTCCATCCTGTCTGACCTGAACATCTTCCCTCCAAGTTCCAGGCCTGGGAATAAATGCCTCCTTAGCCATGCCATGTTCTTACACTGTACCAGGGTGTGAGGAGGTCATGGGGTAGAGTGGAACCAGCCATAGTCTATCCACAGGTCACCCAGTGCCCCATACTGCAAGCTAAGAACTACATACTCAGGAAGAGCCATGAGGGTCAACTCATGATGCAGACAGTTAGCACCACCCACCTAGGAGCACAAGGAAGGGTTCCCCTAAGAGGGTGACCCTGAGCTGAAATCTGATCACATAGAAGAAACAAGAGCATTCCATAAAAATGAACAGCATGTGCAAAGTCCAGGAAAGCCTATGGCCAGTGAGTAGTGATAAGTATGGTGTGAAATGTGAAGCAGTTCGGATGGCAGCCAGAGGCCATTCCCATGAAGGATGTTGGGAGAGGATTCTGATCTCTATCCCTAAAATAGTGGAGAACCAGAAGAATGGCTCTGGACCTGTCGTGTGTGTGTGTGTGTGTGTGTGTGTGTGTGTGTGTGTGTGTGTGTGTGTGTGTGTGTGTGTGCTTCCGGTTTTCTGGTGGTTTATTGGGGATAGGAGTCTCACGGTCTTTCCTGCCCGGACTGGCTTTGAACCGCGATCCTCAGATCTCAGCCTCCTGAGTAGCTAGGATTACAGGCGTGAGCCACCAGCGCCCGGCTATGTGTGTGTGTGTTTTCTACCCACTCAAGCTGACTCAAGCTGGATAACCTTGAACGAGTCACTTCGCCTCTCTGGGTTTCCTTATCTGGAGAATGGCGCTAACACTTCTGCCCACCCTTCACAGGCCTGTCGAGAGAGTCCCAGGAGAGCTCTTCCAAAATGCTTGACTGGGGCCTCATTCTGGAAACGGGGTCCAGGACAGTGTAACCATCAGTATCTCTGGGCTCAGAAAGGCCAACTACTCTGTCCTTTGCTTCTCCTCAAGTCAGCAGCAACCACAGCTCAAAGAGAGGCAGGAGAGTGAAAGAATGAAAGAAGTTGATAAATCTTATGCAGGAGGACCACCCCTCCCAAAGGGCCCCCTCCCCAGAAAGTTACTCAACCATTCCTGTTTCCAGCCAGTCTCAACCCCTCCTGATGGTTGCCTGCAGTAGGTGTCATCACCTACATATGCTGGTATAGCCCCTCGATATGGCTGGTCCTGGAGAAAGAGGAGCAAGTAGAGGAGGGAGGAGAAGAGGCAGAGATGGAAGCAGAGATGAGAAGTGACGCTTTCCTTGCTCCATTGCTGTAGTCCGGGAAGGCACTGTCCCCATTTCACAGCTGAGCAAGCCAAGGCTCTGAAGCCACTCACCTTAAGTGGCAGAACCAGGAATGTGGCCTTGCCTATCTGGGGTCTCTATGCTGATCCTTTAGCCACCAAATAATGAATTTGGGAGCCTAAGGGCTAGATGGAAATTCAGCGAGCACCTAACATCAATTATCATGTGTCTTTTTTTTTTTTTTGTCGGTCGTGGGGCTTGACCTTGGGCCTGGGCGCTGTCCCTCAGCTCTTCAGCTCAAGGCGAGCGCTCTACCACTTGAGCTACAGCGCCACTTCCGGTTTTCTGGTGGTTTATTGGAGATAGGAGTCTCACGGTCTTTCCTGCACGGGCTGGCTTTGAACCGCGATCCTCAGATCTCAGCCTCCTGAGTAACTAGGATTACAGATTACAGGCGTGAGCCACCAGCGCCCGGCTTATCATGTGTCTTTAGTCACAGTGGATCCTGAATATTCTGCTTTGTGGGCAGAGGGAAGAAAAGGAGGAGAGAAGAGAGGATAAGGGGTGGGGGGGAAGGTAAAGGAAGAAGAAAAGGAAGATGAGGGTAAGAAGGGAAGAGAAGAAGGAAAGGAAGAGAGAATGGGGAACACAAACTGTTGATGGAGAAAGATGGGAGAAGATGGTTTTGAAGCTTCAAGTCCCTTGACTACCCCCTGTCCTGAGTTCTCTTCTCCTTATAGCCATAGTTCCTATTTTCTCACCCCACCCTGCTGGGTATGAAGCCTGGGCCTTGTATATGGTAGACAGATGCTCTACCCCTGAGCTTCACCTCCAGCCTAGAACCTTGTTGGGTAGGTTCTCAAAAGTAGTCTGACTGGCCAGAGCTAGACAGTTGGTACTTGGCCTTGGGTTAGGTATCCAACCTGCAGCCAGATAAGGACTATAACCTACCCAGACAGAGAAGGAATGGAGAAAATAGGCTAGGCTGGGACTTCAACAAGAAGCCATTGCAAGGTCTCTGCCTCTAGAATGGCTCCACAGCTCTCTCAGGTCTTTCTTCCTCCAGGTGAAAGGAGTCAGGGCACAGTCTGTCACTTCCAGTCTACAGATCAGAAAACCACAGCCCTGAGACAACAAAGTCAACTGCAGAGCTGAGAAGTGCCAAGCTGACCCAACTTCCATTTCTGTTCCTGTGCTTCCTATCCATCCCTCCCCCATGACCTGCTGAGATACCCCCGCCTTGCTCTGCTCTGTGAGTCAGCAGCCAGGCTCTCTCCAATGCATTATTTAGCTCTAGATAGGCCGTTAGCTCCTGTTACACTGGCTGCAGCCCTGCCCACCCTTCAGGTGACGTGGTGGGTGAGCACCCTACCTGGTCTCAGGAGATCTAGGCTCCACCTCAGTCTCAATGCAGGTGTCTGGAAGTCTAGCACAGGTGGTATTCCCTTTCTGGCTCAGTGCCTTCCTTTTACACTGTGGGGTCTAAGCACTTCCGCTGGGGGGAAGGGAGGCACAGGAGGGTCTGAGCAACATCAATAGTTATTGACACTGTGATTAACATCAGGATGCTCACTGGGCCTTACTGGCTTCTCCCACTGTCCTGTAAGCAACACCCACACATTTTCCACCACCACCAAGTGAGGGTGAAACCCAAGGCGGCTCTAGAGGAGATGAATTATGGATCTGCCCTGCCGGAATGTTGGCCTCGTCCCTCCCCAAGCCACTTCAGCCAGTCTCAGCTGCTCAGAGTCTGAGAAGGCCACGGATTCAGCTGCAGGCAAACCTGTGAACTGGCCCCAGCCCAGTAGAAGCAAGAGGCCACCATGCCGAAGGAAGAAGATGAAGAGAAGAAAGCCAAGAAAGGAAAGAAGGGGAAGAAGGCCCCAGAGCCGGAGAAGCCCAAACGGAGCCTGAAGGGCACATCTCGTCTATTCATGGGCTTCCGAGACCGCACACCCAAGATCTCCAAGAAGGGCCAGTTTCGGAGTGCATCAGCCTTCTTCTGGGGCCTCCACACCGGCCCCCAAAAGACCAAACGCAAGAAGAAGGCCCGCACTGTGCTTAAGTCCACTTCCAAGCTCATGACACAGATGCGCATGGGCAAGAAGAAGCGGGCGATGAAGGGCAAGAAGCCCTCCTTCATGGTCATCCGATTTCCAGGCCGGCGTGGCTATGGCCGCCTCCGGCCCCGGGCCCGGTCACTCAGCAAGGCATCCACGGCCATCAACTGGCTCACCAAGAAGTTTCTCCTCAAGAAGGCTGAAGAGTCGGGTAGCGAGCGAGCCACAGTAGATGCCTGGCTCCAGCGTTCAGGCTCTCACATGGGTTCTCAAAAGCTCCCCTTCCCATCAGGAGCAGAGATCCTGCGGCACGGAGGCCGGCTCCGCAGGTTTCCTCGCAGCCATAGCATCTATTCCTCTGGGGAACCCGTGGGCTTCTTGCCCTTTGAGGATGAGGCACCATTCCAGCACTCGGGCTCCCGCAAGTCACTGTACGGGCTTGAGGGCTTCCAGGACCTGGGCGAATACTACGATTACCATCGTGAGGGGGATGACTACTATGACCAGCAGTCACTGTACCACTATGAGGAGCAGGAGCCCTACCTGCATGGCTACGGCCCCTACAGCCCGGCCTGGCCACCCTATCACGACCACCACTATGGGTATCCACCTGAAGACCCCTACGACTACTACCACCCTGACTACTATGGTAGCTCCTTCTACCCCGGCTACGGCTATGGCTACGGCGATTATGAGCCCCCCTATGCACCCCCATCGAGATATTCATCTCCTTACAGCTACCATGACACATTTGAGGGTGAGGCCTACCCATACAACTACTACCTGGATCCCTATGTACCTTATGATCCACAGTACCCACCCTATGACTTGCCATATGATGCTCCCTACAACGCACCCTACTTCGATCCCTATGGGGTCCCCTACACCGTCCCCTATGCTGAAGGCATCTATGGTGGTGGAGATGACGCCATCTATCCTCCTGAAGCACCATATCTTTATCCAGAAGAGTCAGCCTTCATGTATCCCTGGGTGCCACCACCCATCCTATCACCCCACAATCCGTATGCCCACCCCATGGATGACATCACAGAGCTGGAAGAGCCGGAAGAGGCCAGTGGGGAGCGGCAGAGCACCTCCTTCCGTTTGCCCAGCGCTGCCTTCTTCGAGCAGCAAGGTATGGACAAGCCCGCCAGGTCCAAGCTGTCGCTCATCCGCAAGTTCCGCCTCTTCCCACGGCCTCAGGTGAAGCTATTTGGGAAGGAGAAACTGGATGTGCCCTTACCTCCCTCCCTGGACATTCCACTGCCCTTAGGAGACGCAGAGGAAGAGGAGGAAGAGGAGGAGATGCGCCGGGTGCCTACGGTGCCCTATGCCTATCCTTACTGGGGCTTCCTCTCACCACGCCAGCGAAACCTCCAACGAGCCCTGTCGGCCTTCGGTGCCCACCGCAACATGGGCTTAGGCCCTGAACTTAGCCACTCCCCACCCCGCCCAGCCACCTCATTGGCACGGTTTCTTAAAAAGACCCTGTCAGAAAAGAAGCCCATTCCTCGACTCAGAGGCAGTCAGAAGGCCCGAGCAGGAGGTCCTGCAGTCCGGGAGGCCGCCTACAAACGCTTTGGCTACAAGCTGGCTGGCATGGATCCCGACCGGCCCAACACGCCCATCGTGCTGAGACGGACGCAGCCACGAGCTTGCAACAACAACAACTCTCACCACCCGCCCTCGCCCAGGCCAACACGTCGGACCCTGGCCCACTGGAGTGCACTTGTCTCCCCTCCGCTGCCCAGACGAACCCCCAGCCCTGGCACACCACCGCCTGCCCCACCATTCTCTCCCACCCTCTCTGGGCTGCCCCGGCCAGTCTCTCCCTACGGGTCTCTTCGACGGCACCCCCCACCCTGGGCTGCACCATCTCATGTGCCCCTGACACCCCAGGCAAATTGGTGGGCCTTTGTGGAGCCTCCTCCCGTGAGACCAGAGGTGCCCCCTGACCTGCTTGCTTACCCTGCACCCCGGCCCTCATTCAGGGGTTCCCGCCGCCGCCGAAGGGCATCCTTTGGCTTCCCTGGGGCCTCCCCACTGGCATCTAGGAGGCGGGCCTGGACCCCCCTGCCCTCACCCCAGCCTTCACTGAGAAGCCTACCAGGCCCAGGCTACCGCTCACCCTTGGGGCCCCCGTCCCCTCAGCTGTCCCTCCGAAGGGGCCCCTTCCAGCCACCCTTCCCACCCCGTCCTCGACAGCCTCGATCACTGCGGGAGCCCCTGGTGCCACACCGATCCTCTGGACGCTCAGGCCCACCCCGCTCCCCAGTGCTAGGTTCTCCTCGGCCACCCTCACCACCCCCGATGCTGGCTCCCGGCCCCCGGCACCGGTCTCTCAACTTGCCCTCACGCCTCCCACACACGTGGCGGCACCTCAGCGAGCCGCCCACCCGGGCTGTGAAGCCACGAGTACGTGGGTCCTTCCACCCACCTGCCAGTGCCGGGTCCTGGAGAGCAGCCACAGGGCCCCGAGAACATCAGGAGAGCCAGCGTGAACAGGAGGATTCAGAGACACCCTGGACGGTGCCCCCACTGGCCCCCAGCTGGGATGTGGACATGCCTTCTACCCAGCGCCCATCCTCTCCCCGGCCAAGAGGTGTGGGCAGCCTTCGAGGCTTTGCTAGGCCACCTCCTGTGCCAGAAAACCCCTTCTTCCAGCACCTGGGCCCTGTGCTACCTCCCACTTCCCAGCCTGAGGATCCAGCCTCTGACTCGACCAGTGTCTTCCTGGGCAGACACCATGATCCAGGACCTGGACAGCTCAGCAAGTCAGCTGGCCCAATCTCTGAGAATCCTGAAGAAGAGGCCACACCTGGAGATCCTCAGACATCAGCAGAGCCAGAGCCAGAGACCCTAACACCTCCCAAGGATGCTCCCCAAGAGCAGAAGGTATTCAGGCGCAGCCTTTCATACCCACTGGCCACATGTGACCAGACAAGAGCCTTATGGCCTCCATGGCGTCGCTGGAAGACCCTGTCCAGAGCCCCAGCCCCCTTGGCACCCACTGGGGCCCCAGTGCCCCTGCCTAAGGCAAATGAACAACCCCAGGCTGGCCCTGCACGATTTGCTGTAGTTATGCCCCAGGTACGGGGTCTGAGTTCTTTCCAGAGAGTTGGGCCTGCAGCCCTTCAGCCTCCTGAACAGCCTGCCCAGGATCCTGAACACAACCTGGAGCCCCAAGCCTGGAGTTTGTGCCCTCCCCGCCGCTGGCTGCCAGCATATGCCCACCAGCACTGGCTACGAGTGCACACCCGTTCCCAGTCCCACCGCGTGAGCCTGGGAGCCACCTGCCTATCCCTCCGGGGCCCTTGGAAACAGGCTTCCTCCAAGAGCTGGCCGAACAAGGTATGGGGTGCAGGTCAATGGGAGGGTGTGGCAGTTCTGGCCTAGGAAACAGGGCTTGGAGGTACTCTGCAGAGCTGCTACCTGCATAAGCCTCAGTTCCCCATCTGCAAGGTGGTAGAACAGCTTGAACTGCCTGAGCCTCCTGAAGGAGTGCTAAATGAGAGGATTCCCAGGCAGTCCTTGGGCTGAAGGATTCTGGACTAGGTGAGAGTGGCAGCTCCAGTCTTCTTATTGCCAAGTAGAGAAACTGAGGCCCAGAGGACCCACAGTGGATGGTGGCTGAGCTAGGAATTCATCTGAGCCACCTATGAGGTACAGGCAGGAAGCCCATCTGAAAGATGCCCAGCCTGTGCCTGCCTGCCACGCACATGGAGGAATGCGAGCCTGACGCCGGATGGCCCTCGGAGGAGGCGGGTGGTCACCGGAGCCTCCCCGGGGACATCCAGAATAGGCGGGGCAAGCAGGCGGTGGGTGCTTCTCAGCCTCTGCAGACGGTGCCCCTGTGCAGCGGGCGGCCGGCCGGCCCGACAATGACAACTGGGGCAGCCTGGCTGCTAGGGGGGCCCTGGCCCCGGCGACGGGTGCCCCGCGCCGTGTGGGCTGCAGCGTTGCGGGAGAGGGGCGCAGGGCGCCCGGGGGTGAGGGGCAAGGATGCCTGGGCCCTCCTCACCCTGGAATACGTGAGTGGCTGAATTATTTAGGGTCTGCGGCCTCTGACGAGCACGTGGGCAGATGGGTGGGCCGAAGGCCAGGGCAGAAAGGGTGATACTTGTGCCCTACTTAACAGCCCAGGGATAGGCATGCAGCACTCAGGTCCTCCTGGTGTCCCCTTGCCTGCTCAGGGGAGGGTGTAGCTGGGATGAGAATGGTGCGTTGCACATGCACACACTCAGAGTTATGTAGCACCTCAAAAGGCCTCTGTGCCTAGAGATCCATGAGCATCCGCTACAGCCAAAGGTGGACAGCAAGGATGTGCCATGTTTGAGCACCTGCAGGTGTAATGTTTTTGCTTCCCTTCTGTGCATGCACATACCCATGTGCACAAAAACAGGCACTGTGGATAGCCTGCAGCCCAAAGGTGGCATTCAGAATCCTCTTCTCCAGACTCCTCAGGTGGAAGGACCCCAGCTCACATTAAGTGGACAACTGAGTGTGTGCCCACATGTGTCTATGCCCCAGCCAAGCACTATAAGGCTGCACATGTAGCCACCACATCCTATGAGAACACAGGTGTGCACAGGCTCTGTGAGTGAACAATACCATTGTACATGGGTCCACATATGGTGTCCACACATTTAACCCAGATGGTGCAGTCCTGGGGCAGTCTCCATCTTGGAGGGCCCTAAAAAGGATACAGATATCCATCAAGTTGTCATACAAGCTAACACATAGAGTGTTCTGGGGAGGAGGATGCAGATACAGAGTAAGCTGAGATTGAGAGGGATCAGGTGCATGTGTGTGTGTGTGTGTGTGTGTGTGTGTGTGTGTGTGTACATGTGTGTGCTCACCCCCTGGATAGGACACTGGAGCTCACAGGAGGACTCAGGACTCAGGGACACTTTGGCACTGAGGACAGACTATGACCCCATGTGTAAGGGCTGCACATGAGCTCCATCAGCCACTATGTTTTATAGCAAAGAGGCCTGAAGGACACACTGGGGCTGGCCTTGGGGTTTGTTCCTTCTCTGACAGTGGGAGGGGAAGCCAGGTATGTCCAAACCAAGGCAACTCTGAGATGCTCTCCAACTTGCCAACCTCACCTCCCTCTTTCTCTCTCTCTCAGATGCACTCCATCCGGAATCTGCCTTCCGTGCGGTCCCGAGAGCAGCGCAGAGAGGATGGCGTAGAAGACATGACCCAGCTGGAGTGAGTGGGTGGAGCCAGGGAGGGAATCACTCTAGGGTCCCTATATGCCTAGCCACATGGCCTGATATCTGCCTCCCAGAAAATTTCAGAGCCTCTGTTTCCCCATTTACAGAATGGGTACCAAGAAGTTTCACAAAGGCCAAATACATGCAATTGAAATCTCTGTGAATCAGACAGGCTTCAGCTCAAGTCCCATTGCTTATCAGCCAGACCACTGGGGCTTAAATCAGAGTCTTGAGCTTGCTAAGCAGGTGCTCTCCCACTTGAACCATGCCCCAGGCCTGTTATTTTATATTTCTGTGCTTCTGTTTCTCATCACAAAATGGGAAGACAGATGCTTGATCTCTCAAGGACTGGCATGTTTGAGATATTCAAAATATGAGGGTCATGCTGGCTACCATCATCATCCAATCACACCAACTAAGACTCAGGTTTCCCACCTTGGTGTCCCCTAACCCCCAACAAAGTAGACACAATAGTTACCATGCCCATAAGACAAACAAAGAAACTGAGGCACGGTTAGATGAAGTAACTTGCCTAAGATCTCACAGATGCCAGTAGTTCATGCATATAATCCTAGCTACTGCCAACCTGGGCAGAAAAAAATCCATGAGATTCTTATCTCCAATTAACAATCAAAAAGTCAGCAGTAGACCTGTGGCTTAAGTGGTAGAGCATCAGTCTTGAGCAAAAAATAAGCTAAGAGACAACACCCAGGTATTGAGTTTAAGCCCCAGTACCATAATGATAACAACAATGAAATCTCACAGATGGTTAGTGACAGACAGGCCTTGAACTCAGGCCTGCCTGACCGAGGCATTGTACACAGTAAGGAAGGGCCCACGCTAATCAGGCCCCAGGGCACTGACAGCCTTTCCATGGCATTCCAGGGACCTCCAAGAGACTACTGTGCTGTCCAATCTCAAGACCAGATTCGAACGTAACCTCATCTATGTAAGTCCTGGAACTGATGGGCCCGAGGCCCTGCTTAAGAAGGCAGCTGCTTCCTGGTGTTAGAGGTAGTACAGTTTTCTCCTGCTGGGCCCAGTGTGACCTGTGGTATGAACACTGGGATTTCACTCTTTCAACATAGAATGTTAGAGCCTGGAGCACCAAAAATCAGCAGTCTTAAAACACAGTCTTGTATGGTGAATGCAGAAACAGAGACATAGAGACAGGGAATCCAGAAATATGTGAAAACCCTCCCCATCCCCTACATGCTGGGTATCTGATAGGTAAAGCTTAAACAGTCCTAGAAAGGGGTGGCAGGGGTAGAAGGGAGCTCCCTCTCTCTAAAATGACAGAACAGAGGGCCGTAGAGCTGGATCCACAGAGAAGAAAGAAGAGACACACAGCTGTTCCCCTGGCCTCCCTGACCCCCTCCCTACTCCAGACAATAGAGGTTTGACCTGGAGGCATAGGCTTCTAGAGCCTGGGCCTGATCATGAATGAGCAAAGTGGGCAGAGGCAGACATAGCTAGTATTGCAGGATCACAGCTATGAGACTTGGCTCACTCCATAGCCTCAGCCTTAGCAACACCAGAGACCACACTATTAGACCACAGGTCGCCTTCCCACTGTAGATAGTAATATGTCCCCTTGGAAAGGGGGAGGGGATCTAAGCTCCTGGAGCAGGAAAGGGAAGGCCACTTTAACCCATGGCACTGAAGCAAACTGTCTGTCAGCAGACATACATTGGCAGCATCCTGGTGTCGGTGAACCCATACCGAATGTTTGGGATCTACGGGCCAGAGCAAGTGCAACAGTACAGCGGGCGGGCCCTGGGAGAGAATCCCCCGTGAGTGTCTTCAGACTGGGGAAGGGCTACCCTGGGGTGTCCAGGATCATGGGCTGGGTTGATAGGAATAGTGAACACCTCTGCTCAGTTCACAGTCTCTCCCCCTCTCTCTTCCTCTCTCTATAGGCTTAGCCATGGTCTTTCTGGAAGCCAGTGAGGTTTAGGGTGGGGGTGCGGGATTGTCAGGATTGCCTGCTTGGCTAGACAGAAACCCCATTCCCCACTTCCGGGGGCTTGGATGAGGAGACAGGACTAGCCAGTGACACCTAGTGGCCTGTCTTCCCCAGGCACCTCTTTGCGATTGCTAATCTTGCCTTCGCCAAAATGCTTGATGCCAAACAGAACCAGTGCATAATCATCAGGTGAGACAGACTGTGTTTGGGTAGGGGACCAATGGCAGGACCTTGGACCTCAGGTCTGCATCCATCAGACCTGCTGTGAGACCAAGAAGATCACTGGGGCAGATCCAGAGAAACAGAAAAAAAAATTAACTTTGCTCTGCCCCTTTGCCTGACTAGTGGAGAGAGCGGCTCTGGCAAAACGGAGGCCACGAAGCTGATTCTGCGCTACCTGGCTGCCATGAACCAGAAGCGGGATGTGATGCAGCAGGTATCTATCTGTCTATCCAGGAGTCCCAGCTAAGCACTTTTGCTGAACCCATATCATATGCTCCTAACAGGCCAGTCTTCTTGGCCCCCCTCAGAAGAGGGAGAGGCTGAATTCCAGGAGGGCTGGTGGATCTGACCCAGGGATGTTCTTTCTCCATCCCTTCTACGCTCCTGTGTTTCAAAAGCAGCTTTGGGTTCCATGCCTCCAGAACTAGGTCACAGTAGGGATCATACAAGCAAGGGGGCCAGCCTATTTCTCTGGCTTGGCCTTACCATCTGGGGCCATCACATTTTCATACTCAGAGCCTATGCTGACCCAATGGTAAAAAGGCAAGACATAGCTGAGTGATGGTATAAAGCAGCATATGCAGGGCCATGTGACAGAGATTGCTAAGTCCTCTAGACCTGGGAATACCAGAAGCTCATCCAGGTCAATAAAGGTTTGGTGAGGACCTACTATGCTCACAGACAAGGCAGCAACCATCCAGACAAATGCTCATGCTTTTGCAGGAATTCCATTCTAAATGGAGAATGCAGAAAGGAAACGAAAAGTAATAATTTATAGTTATGCAAAAATGATTTTTTTATAAATAAAGTGTGTCAGATTGTCATATTCTAGGGCCATGCATCAGCCCCTAGACCTTGGGCACTGGGTTCTTCAGACTCACAGGTTTATGCCATAGGGGCCCAGAGAGATCCCTCGATCCCACCATAGTCTGTGGCTCCCTATGGGGTGAAGAGGGGACTTTATCATCGACTTGCTTCTATTCTTTTCCCTTATTTCTTTTCTTGCTTCCCTGGTGCTCCTGAAGATAAAGGTACTGTGTATATGTATGTGTGAGCATGCATGCATGTGTGTATATGTTAGTGCAGTGTGGATGTGTGTGTGTGTGTGTGTGTGTGTGTGTGTGTGTGTAAAAGGACTGACTCATCCTGGGGACTTGTGGTCAGGGGCTTCCCCACAAGCATCCTAGTATCCTAGGGTGCTTCCAGAGAAGGGTATGAGACAGAGCATGGATGGGGGCCATGGCACTGGGGAGACCCTGGGGCTCTACAAGAAGTCTACTTCAGGTCGACCCTCACAAAGTGGGGCTCTTGGAGGAGGCCATACCTGCCATACCCAAGCTCCCAGAATAGTGTCCAGCTCTTCCATGCACACCTGTCTTCTTGGGACCCAGATCTTGGAGGCAACACCCCTCTTGGAGTCCTTTGGTAACGCCAAAACTGTCAGAAATGACAACTCCAGCCGCTTCGGGAAGTTCATGGAGATCTTTCTGGAAGGGTAAGTAGAGCCATGGCAGGCTCCCAAAAGCCTTGCAGAGCCCCCCTATATCCCTTGAAAACAGTCCCAGGCCAAGTAGCCAAGCAACAGCATCACCGACCCCAACATCAACTGTTCCTCTGGTTGTGTTTTCCCAGGGGCGTGATCTCTGGTGCCATAACCTCCCAGTACCTCCTGGAGAAGTCTAGGATTGTGTTTCAGGTGGGCTGGTCCCCGGGCCTAGGGAGGAGGTGGGCACAGAACTCAGAGTTTGGCACGGAGTGGGGGGAGGAGAGGGTGGCTTGACAGATATCAAAGCAATGAACAATGTACACCAATGTGTACATGTGAACCTATGACCTCATGGCTTCTTCTCCCCGTCCCCTACAGCACTTGGCTCTGCCACCAGGCCTCTGGGCCTCAGGGCCTTTGTGTTCACTGTTTCCCCTCTGAGGCACACTCAGCTCTGTGATACCTGTGTGGCCAAACCCCCGCATCTTCTTGCCCAGAGAAGTGAACCCACTTAAAATACAGCCTTCTCCACCTACCACAACTCCTACCTTTCAAGGCCTCATTTCTCTCCAAAAGCTTTTCACCCAATTTTTTACCTTTAACCAGTAATTTGCTGGTTCCATCTTCCCAGCTTAGTAGATCAGCTGTATTAAGTTAGCGACATCTGTTGGTCTACTTCCTGCTGGGTCCCAAACTCCTAGGGCAGGACCCAAGGCACAGGAAGACTCAGCCAGAATTCCATGTGTGCACATGTGGGCTGCTGATACACATGCATGTAGGGGTGTGTGGACAAGTAAAACTGAGAGAAGATGGTTGTCTTTATCTGCCCAAATGGTTTTCTGCCATCCATCATACCCAAGGCTTCTCCTCTTCCACCCTAGTGGGTGCCAGCCCGGGAAATGCTGGGCAACCTTGGCAGGCTTGTGTGTACGAGTGTGCATGTCCACATACAGTGTGTGCATCTGAGCATTGCACAACTGGGGACCACCAAGGTGGGCAACTCCCTTCTCTGCACCCACTCTCTCCCACCTACTCTGCAGGCCAAAAACGAGAGGAATTACCACATTTTCTACGAACTGCTGGCTGGGCTACCTGCCCAGCTCCGACAGGCCTTTAGCCTCCAGGAAGCCGAGACCTACTATTACCTGAATCAGGTAAGCATCTGGGCAAATTCGAGAGCCCCTCCATAGTCCTCAGGCCAGGAGATTCCAGCTGTGGTATCCTAGTGGTTAAAGAAGAGGACAGGTTTGGGGAAAGCATCTCCCAGAAGCAAGGAAGCCAGGAAATGTCATGTCTAAATCAGAGGATTTAGACAGACCTCAGCAAAACTGGTCAACATAAGGTCACCCCTCCATCCTGTACCTCAATTTCCTCGTCTGGGAAATGGGGACAACACAGCACCACTGTGCAGAGATGCACTGAGGCATTTCTTGTGTGTCATGAACTTAGCCTGTAGCCTGAGCTACTGTTTTTATTTTCACCATCACTGACAAACTCTAGGGGCAAGCCCCTGCTATTTATCACATGGAGTCTATGAAACCCCATCCTAGCTGGGCACAGGTATTTCATATCTGTAAGCCTAGCTGTTCAGGAAGCTGAGATCTGAGGATCACGGTTCAAAGCCAGCCCAAGCAGAAAAATCTCCATGAGACTCTTATCTCCAATTAACCACTAAAAAACTGGCAGTAGCACTGTGGCTCAAGTGGTAGAGCGCTAGCCTTAAGATTTGAGGATCAGGGACAGCGCCCAGGCCCCGAGTTCAAGCCCACAACCAAACATACAGAGAGGGAAAGAGAGACAGAGAGACAGAGAGAGAAAGACAGAGAGACAGAGAAAGAGAGAGAGAGAGAGAGAGACCCCATCCTGAGCCACCTCTGACTCACCTGGGCCCTAAGAATTAAAACAGAGGGGCTGGGAATGTGGCTTTGTGGTAGAGTGCTTGCCTAGCATGCATGAAGCCCTAGGTTCTATTCCTCAGTACCACATAAACAGAAAAGGCCAGAAGGGATACTGTGGCTCAAGTGGTAGAATGCTAGCCTTGAGCAAAAAGAAGCTCAGGGACAGTGCCCAGGTCCTGAGTTGAAGCCCTAGGACTGCCGAAAGAAGGAAAAAGAAAGAAAGAAAGAAGGGGCTGGGAAGGTGGCTCAGTGGTAGAGCGCTTGCCTTGAATACTAGAGGACCTGAGTTCGATTCCTCAGCACCACATAAGCAAAAAGAAAAAAGCCAGAAGTGGCGCTGTGGCTCAAGTGGTAGAGCGCTAGCCTTGAGCTGAAGAGCTGGTTCGATTCCTCAGCACCACATAAGCAAAAAGAAAAAAGCCAGAAGTGGCGCTGTGGCTCAAGTGGTAGAGCGCTAGCCTTGAGCTGAAGAGCTGAGGGACAGCGCCCAGGCCCAGAGTTCAGGCCCCACAACCAGACCCAAAGAAGAAAGGAAGGAAGGAAGGAAGGAAGGAAGGAAGGAAGGAAGGAAGGAACTGAACCAGAGCCAAGGCCATATGGCCAGTCAGGGAAGAGTAGGACCTAGTGATTTCATATTCCCCAGCCAGAGTCCCTGACCCCAACTCCTGCCCTTGCCCAGGGTGGGAACTGTGAGATCTTAGGCAAGAGTGACACAGACGACTTCCGCCGCCTTCTGGCTGCTATGGAGGTGCTGGGCTTCAGCGGTGAGGACCAGGATAGCATCTTCCGAATCCTGGCCTCCATCCTGCACCTGGGCAACGTCTACTTCGAGAAGTATGAGGTGAGCCTTCACAGGGTCAGCACCCAGGACGCAGTTGTGTCTATGACCATGGTTTTTTTTTTATTATTCCTTTCATTTATTTATTTTGGTACTGGGGACCAGACCCAAGGCCTTGCATATGCTGGGAAGGGATCTACCCCTAAGCTACACTTCTAGCTTTTCCACCCATCTTAATTACTGTGATATGCTTCAACTACCTCTCAGAGCTACCTTCCCTCTTTTCACACACACACACACACACACACACACACACACACACACACAACTCAAGGCCTTATGTTCTTGCTTGGCTTTTTTTGCTCAGGGCTGGTGCTTTACCACTTCAAGCCACACCTTCACTTCCAGCTTTTTTCTGGTTAATTGGAGATAGAAAGCCTCATAGACTTCTGAATGGGCTGTTTCAAACCTCGATCCTCAAATCTCAGCCTCCTGGGTAGCTAGGCTCAACAAATCTTCCATTTCTTTCCTTTTCTTTTTTCTCTTCTTTTCTTCACTCCTTTCCTTCTCCTGTTCCGAACTCAAGACCTCCCACTTCCACTTAGCTTTTTGTTGTTGTTGTTCAAGGCTAGTGCTCTAGCACTTGAGCCACAACTCTACGTCTCTTCACTCTTCTTTTCCAGACTTTTCCCTAGCATGTCTAGCTTGTGTCTGTTTTTCACCCAAACGTTAAGCTCAGCATGGCTAGTCCACAGCTCACTGCCCTTCGTGTTTTGCATAGACGGATGCCCAGGAGATAGCCTCGGTGGTGAGTGCTCGGGAGATCCAGGCCGTGGCGGAGCTGCTGCAGATCTCTCCTGAGGGCCTGCAGAAAGCCATCACCTTCAAAGTGACCGTGAGTCCGCTGCTCCTGGGGCCTGCCAGGCCAGAGCAGTCCTTCCTGTGGGGCATCTTCCATGGGTATCTCTCTTCTTCTCTCTCTGACCGTGTTCATTGTCCAGAGTTCTAACCTCAGACCCCAGAGGCATTATACTCACCATCTGAATAGTGAACATGGGCATAGGCTGTTTCTGTGGCTGGCATTCTCTTCATCTTTTTATACCTGCACAGGTACTCCCTCCACCAGGAAGCCTGACCCCTGGCTGGATAAGGGCCTCTTCTGGGTCTTCAAGTCTTAAGCCTTCCCCCTCCCTGGGTGATTCCATTGTGGCCTATGTCTGTTGACGCTCCTCTCCTCCATTAGATCAGCAGTCACGCGCCAGCCAGCAGGAGGAGGGGGAGTTCTGTCCCTCCTAGGGCCAACTGCGTACCTGAAACCAGTCACACCATCTCTCCAGCCTTCCTTTTCCTTCCCCCTCACTTTCCCCACTCCTCCAGGGGCTTCCTGGAGGTGGTGGCCAGCCAGTTGTCACTCAAAAGCCATGTCTCTCCCAGGAGACCATGCGAGAGAAGATCTTCACACCTCTCACTGTGGAGAGTGCTGTGGATGCCAGGTGAGGCTATATCCCTATCCCTGCCTAGCCCCTGACGCCCAGCACCTCTGCCCCGTGCCCTACCCAGCCGAGCACCGACTCTGTCCTAGGGATGCCATCGCCAAGGTCTTGTACGCGTTGCTGTTCAGCTGGCTCATCACCAGGGTCAACGCGCTGGTGTCCCCACAACAGGACACACTGTCCATTGCCATCCTGGATATCTATGGCTTTGAGGTAGGGCTGTGTGAGTGGGTGAGGGGCAGGACACATTGTTGTATGTGCTATTCCCTACAAGGGACCCATCCCTTACCATTCTTTGTCCCATCTCCCTGTTTTCCTTCATCCATTCTCTAGGAGCCCTCCTCCCCACAAGCTCCTAGGAGGGAGTGGGTAGCACGAAGGAAAAGACAAGACCATGGTCTGGCCCTTGGCAGCACCCAGTGCTGGGTAGAGAACAGTGGGAGTGGGTAGAGAGAATAGACTCTAACAGACTTGTGTGAAGAAAGGCATGAAAAAAAAGGTAGCCAGGACTGGGAACTAGCAGAGGGACCCTTTTCCTCAGCTGTGCTAGAGTCAGAGGCTTTCTGCAGGGAAGGGACATTCCCGAAGACAGGAAAGCCATTATTGCTGGTGTAGTGAATAGTATATGTAAAGGCCAGGAGGCACAGGAGACCATGGGTCTAGGAGCCAATGTCTTTTTGTGTGTGTGTGTACCAGTTCTGTGGCTTGAACTAAAGCCCAGGTGTTGTCCCTGGATATTTGTACTCTGCCACTTGAGCCACAGCTCCACATCCAGCTTTTTTAAACTAAAGATAAGAGTCACATGGACTTTCCTGCCCAGGTTGGCTTTGAACCTTGATCCTCAGATCTCAGCCTCCTAAGTAGTTAGGATTGCAGATATGAGGCACCAGCATCTGGCTCCAATTTTTTTTTTTTGGTTTGGTACTGGGGTTTGAACTTGGGACCTTGCCTTGACTTAGCTTTCTGGCTCATGGCTAGTGCTCTACCACTTGTGCCACACCTTCAACCTGGCTTTTTGCTGGTTAACTGGAGATGGAGTCTGGTAGACTTTACTCCTCCAGGCTGTCCCTCCAAGTTTTATCTTCCCATTTAGCTAGGATTACAGGGGTGAGACACCAAAGCCAAGGAAAGACCAAGCAGGCCAAAGAATGACCAAGTTCAACTTCCCCATCCCCCCACAGGACCTGAGCTTCAACAGCTTTGAACAGCTATGTATTAACTATGCCAACGAGAACCTTCAGTACCTTTTTAACAAGATCATCTTCCAGGAGGAGCAGGTGTGCAACCCATCCACCTTTCTGTCTCTGACTTCACTGGCCAAAGGGACTCCTTGAAGATAGACAAGGACATACAGGTTCTACAAGGGCAGTTCCAAGTTGTCAGGAGACTCATAAAGGAAAAGCATTCTAAGCAGGGAACTGGGAAATGCTCAGGCCTACATTGCAGAGGCAAAGGTATTGAGATTCTGTACCTAGAGAAGAGGGGCAGCTCTTCTTGTCCTTTGAGGAGCAATCCCAGGCGGAGAGAGCAGCAGGGCCCTGGGAGTTCAGGTTGTTAGGGGTGAACCTCCTGATCTGGAATGCATGCAAGCAGAGCTGTTTAACCAGCTTCCTTCTGGTGATTGGGCCGCATGGCCTGCAGGAGGAGTACATCCGGGAGCAGATCGACTGGCGGGAGATCTCCTTTGCTGACAACCAGCCATGCATCAACCTCATCTCACTGAAGCCCTATGGCATCCTGCGCATCCTCGATGACCAGTGCTGCTTCCCACAGGTGAGCAACATGCACCAAAGTAGCCTGCCAAGGTCCTCTGTGCTTTGGCCTGGGTTGGGGAGTAGAGTGGGGCCGGAGACAGTGTAATAGGACACTCACCCTACCATTCACAATCTTGGATGAATGGGGCTGGATGGGGTCGGCAGGTGTTTGGAGGAGGCTGTACCAGCTTGGGTAGTCCCAAGTAGCTTCCTAGAAGATTGGGCCTCAACTGCAGATCATGAAGCACAGGACAAGATGGCAGTGGGAGGGCACCGACGGCTGGACTAGAAAGAGGCAGCTGGGAGCAGATTCAGCAGCATAGGACCCACGGAGACCTTGGTGCCTAGATAAGGCAGCTGTTCTAAAACAGGGATGTGGACTACCATGGAAAGCTGTGGGCTGTTCCTCTCCAGCACCCACCAGGGAGCAGTCAGGGCTGGAGAATTTAACACCAGGCTAGGAACAAGCACCCAGGCCCGCTGATCACCCCCTGGCCCTGCCACCCACAGGCCACAGATCACACATTCCTGCAGAAGTGCCACTACCACCACGGCGCCAATTCACTGTACTCCAAGCCCAAGATGCCCCTGCCCGAGTTCACCATCAAGCACTACGCCGGCAAGGTCACCTACCAGGTGAGCGCTGAGACAGCCCAGCCAAAGGTGTTACGACTCCTCTGTAGGATGAAGACAACACAACCTGGACTCAGCCATGCATACCTGTTTCAGTCCTGACTGTTACACAGTCCTTGCTGTGTAACCTTGGGCAAAGAGGCGTTGGAAACATGCCGCTACTGTGTTATCCAGATACCCTGCTTCGAGACTACACAGAGTAGGGATGGAGGTAAGCAAGGACCAGCTTCCACCACACTATGGGTCCTCTTTCCCAGGTGCACAAGTTCCTGGACAAGAACCATGACCAGGTGCGCCAAGACGTGCTGGACCTGTTTGTGCGAAGTCGTACTCGGGTGAGCATACCTGGCCTCCACTGGGTGTCCCCTGGCCCCAGCCCCGCCCCTGGAGGCTCCTCCCCTGGAAGTGACCTTTTCCAGTGTGGCCCGCCTCTGTTGCCACACCCATTTCCTCTTGGCTGCACCCCCAAACTGGGTTCCTTCTGCTAGTGCGAGAAATGGGAAGGTACCTACCCCGTTCTCTCTCTGGTATACCCCAGCCAGGGGCCAGGATCTGGCCCCACTCCCAACCTGGATCCTGTACCCACCCTGCCTTGCCTTGCCCTATCAGTTCCAGATCCACCATCCTGGCCCCGCCTCCAATTGGGCCCCACCCCAACTATCCAAGTCCTGTTTCCCCACCCACCGTTCCTGTCACACCCTTTTTATTGCTTGCTTATTCCTGCCTATTCAAGCCAGCCTTGCTCTCTGCCTGCTTACTGGGCATGGGCCAAGCTGTTTGTCCAGCGCCCTCTCCAGTGTGACCATGAGGCCTGCAGAATGCACAGCTGGTCAATAAGCAATGATTGCATGTTCCTCAGAAGGAGTGGGAAAACACAGTGTCATTACGGAGTGGCCCCTAGGAAGCCTTGAGACCCTATGTTGTGAACCCCGCAGGCTATGATGGCACAGAGGGCAGAGTCTCAGACTTCTTTTTTGGGGGGGGGGTCCAGTTGTGGGGCCTGAACTCTGGGCCTGGGCGCTGTCCCTCAGCTCTTCAGCTCAAGGCTAGTGCTCTACCACTTGAGCCACAGCGCCACTTCCAGCTTTTTGCTTATGTGGTGCTGAGGAATCAAACCCAGGGCCTCATGCATGCAAGGCAAGCGCTCTACCACTGAGCCACCTTCCCAGCCCTTCTCAGGCTTCTTCAGTCCAGGGACTTAGCTCTGTTTTCTCTCTTCCCTCATTCATCTCGTTGGACTATCCAGCTCTGTTTTCCCTGTGGTCTCTTGTCTCCAATGCTTTGCCTTGTCCCTCTGTGCTGCCATCCCCCCAGATTGTGGCCCACCTCTTCTCCAGCCATGCTACACAGGTTGCCCCTCAGCGCCTGGGCAAGAGCAGCTCTGTTACCCGACTCTACAAGGCGCACACAGTGGCTGCCAAGTTCCAGCAGTCACTCCTGGATCTGGTGGAAAAGATGGAGAGGTGGGTAGGGCAAGGGGACAGACGGCCTGGCCTCCCCTTCAGTCCACCCTATGATACTCAGTGGGTGAACACCTTCCTTTTTTAAGGTTTCACATCTCCTTCCCCCTGCCCTTGCCCAGGTGCAACCCCTTGTTTGTGCGTTGTCTGAAGCCCAACCACAAGAAGGTAAGAGCCAAATTTTTGATTGTGCTGTGTGACCATGAGAAAGTGGCTTGACCCTTCTGGACCTCCATTGAAAGTGCCTTGGTGGGCTGGGTGCTGATGGCTCCTGCCTATAATCCTGGCTACTCAGGAGGCTGAGATCTGAGGATGGCGGTTCAAAGCCAGCCCAGGCAGCAAAGTCCATGAGACTCATCGCCAATAAACCACCAGAAAGCCGGAAGTGGTGCTGTGGCTCAAGTGGTAAAATGCTAGCTTTGAGCTGAAGAGCTGCGGGTCAATACCCAGGTCCAGAGTTCAAGCCCCAGGACCGACCAAAAAAAGAAAAAGAAAAAAAAAAGTCTAGCAATGACAAAGAGAAGCTCAGGGACAGTATCCAGGCCCTGAGTTCAAGCCCCAGGACTGGCAAAAAAAAAAAAAAAGGGCCTGGGTGAGCCAATGATCTTCTCTGGCCATCCCTCCAGGAGCCCGGTCTCTTTGAACCAGATGTAGTGATGGCACAGTTACGCTACTCAGGGGTACTAGAGACTGTACGGATCCGCAAGGAGGGCTTTCCAGTGCGGCTGCCTTTCCAGGTGTTCGTTGACAGGTACCTTTGTTTGGATAGCTCCTAGCCTCATGCACCTTACCTAAGCCCCCATAGCCTTAGGAAGCTACAATCCAGGACCTGTCATGCCAAGTACAGCCTGCTCAGGCTGTGCACTATAAGACATATTCTGTTACATGATAAATACATTTATTGTTTTGCCTTTCCTCCCCCTTCCCGCATCTCCCCTCCCTCCCCCCCACCCTAGTTTTATTATGTCTATTGAGTCCATAGAGGGGTCATTTTAATGGGTATTCTGACAAGTTTCCAGCAGATGGCAGTGAGTGTCTTGTTCAGCTGAAGTCACCTATTAGAATTTTCTGACATCCAGTAGTCTTGAGGACAGAGGGCCTGCCAGTCTCTAATGAGATACTCTAAGTGGAGCCACCAGCTGGGACTGGGCCCCTAGACATAGGATTGCTGTGGGAACCTGGAGTCATGCGTCTCCTGGGGTTGAACTGATGACCTCAGGCTGAGTTAGGAGCACCCCTCCCTCCCCCCAGGTTCCGCTGTCTGGTCGCCCTGAAACACGATCTGCCCGCTACTGGAGACATGTGTGTGTCGGTGTTGAGCCGCCTGTGTACAGTCATGCCAAACATGTACCGCGTTGGGGTCAGCAAGGTGTGTCCTACCCCACAGTCAGCCCTTGAGAGACCCCAAGTTCAGGAATGTTCCATTCCTGTCCCCAAACCAATCCAGTGGACCGTCAGTGCCACTTCCAGACCTTTGTCCAAGTGGCTCCTGATGCCTGGGTACCATCACCCCTGTGTTCACAGCTTCCGACTCCTTCCAGCTCGGCCCCGGCAGGCTGCCTGGTATCTGGGGAGGGCAAGCCCCCTCCAGACTCCCGGCTCTGACTTATCTCCCCCCTGCTCCCCTGCCCTCAGCTGTTTCTTAAGGAGCACCTGCACCAGCTGCTGGAGAGCATGCGCGAGCACGTACTGAACCAGGCAGCCCTCACCCTGCAACGCTACCTGCGTGGCTTCTTCATTCAGCGCAGGTTCCGCTCCCTGCGCCGCAAGATCATCTTGCTTCAAAGTCGGGCCCGAGGCTACCTGGCCAGGTGCGGGTCCCTTGGGGCCCTAATGGGTTTGGAAAGTTCTGAACTCAGAGGTATGCAAGCTGAAAGGGCCTTGCAGTATGAAAGATCAGAGTCTCCGTCTCTGCTTTTCTTTTTTTTCCCTCCTTCCCCCCCTTCCTCACTTCCTTCCTTCCTTCCTTTCTCTCCCTCCCTCATTCCCTCCTTCTCTCCTTCCCTCCCTCCCTCCCTCCCTTCCTTCCTTCTTTCCTTCCTTCCTTCCTTCCTCAAACCCCCTCCCCTTACACCTTTTGTTCTGGTGCTGGCACTGGGGTTTAAACTCAGGTCCTGGGCTGGGAAGGTGGCTCAGTGGTAGAGCGCTTGCCTTGCATGCATGAGGCCCTGGGTTCAGTTCCTCAGCACCACATAAGCAGAAAAAACCAGAAGTGGTGCTGTGGCTCAAGTGGTAGAGCGCTAGCCTTGAGCTGAAGAGCTGAGGGACAGTGCCCAGACCCAGAGTTCAGGCCCCATGACCGACAAACAAAAATAAATAAACTCAGGTCCTTGCACTCTTACTTGGCTTTTTGTGCCCATGGCTGGCATTCTACCACTTGAACCACAGTTCCACTCCATTTCTGGCTTTTTGCTGGTTAGCTGGAGATTATGGCTTTGAACCTCAATCCTCAATCCTCAGATCTCAGCCTCCTGAGTAGCTAAGATTACAAGCACGAGCCACCAGAGCCCAGCTTCCATCTTTGCTTTTGGATACTCTTCCTCCATCTCCACACCCTGTAGACTGATGGGTGGGGATTCAGCTGAGAGGGACTCCCCCCTACACCTTCTCAGGGACCTCAGCACTATGATCTGATGGGAAGCACACAATTCGCACAAGGTTAATCCAGACCATACTGCTTGATTTGCTGTGTGGCTTTGATCAAGTGGCTGTCCTTAAGATCCAGTTCTCCTTTGTGCCAAAGGATACCAGAGTCGAGTCCCAGAGGCACTTCTACCTGTAGCCCCAATCCTTGATCATCCCCTTCTCCCCTCCCCTCCCCCCCCCACCAGACAACGCTACCAGCAGATGAGGAGGAATCTGGTGAAGTTCCGCTCCCTGGTACACACCTACGTGAACCGCCGTCGCCATCTGAAGGTATAGTCCTGGGGCTGGGACACCACAAGGTGAGGCAAGCCCTTAGCACCCAGGAGATGCCTGCTGGCCTCAAATAGTCCCCAGCCTCAGTCTCTCCGCCACTACTGAGCTGTGTGAGCTCAGGCTCCTCTGTAGCCTCAGTTTCCCCATCTGCCTTTGGTAGCCAGAAAGGTTGCATGTGAGCATCTACCCTGGTGCTGGGATCCTGGTGGGGGCTTCAATAACCTGAACATCCTAGAAGTGACCTGGATCTGGATCTTGATATTAGTCTCGGCCCAATGGCACATAAACCAACCACCAAAGACGCAAGCCATCCCCAAAGCATGGAAAACCCCATGTTGTGTAAACGTTTCAGCACAATGCAGGTTCTATTATGTGACAGTGGAAGGATTTCTGTTGCATACACTCACCTACTTGCTAGCAGTTTTCTTCCTGTGTCTCTATCCCTTTTGCTGCTGTCTTGTTTTTGCTCCACCTCCCTCCTGTCCATTCCCTGTCTCTCTGGCCACATCTCTGCCTCCATGTACCCCCGTCAAGTGGGGCAGTAGCCTCCTGATGACAGGATGCTACCCTTGCTTTTTGTGCCCGCCCTGCCCGCCCTGACCACCTGCTGTCCTGCAGCTGAGGGCAGAGCGGAGGCGCCGGGTGGAGGAGGCACGGCTGCGGGAGCAGGAGGTGGGTGTGGAGGCTGGGTGGCAGCAAGGGACAGGGAGGGAGGCCGGCAGGGGGGATGTATGGCATCTGTGTCCTCACTCCTTGTCATTTCTCTAGGAGCTGAGCAAGCGGGAGGTGGTGGCTGTGGGACACCTGGAAGTGCCTGCTGAGCTGGCCGGGCTCTTGCAAGCAATAACAGGTATGTCAGCTCAGGACAGTAGGGGAAGGCAAGGGGACAAGGGCACCCAGCCACCACAATGTGTCAACCTCCACAGGCCTCAGGTTGACCAGCGCACCACGAGTGGCCCCCGTACGGACTCCCCGGCTCCAGGTTGAGCCTCGTGTCACACTGCCCCTTGATATCAACAACTACCCCATGGCCAAGTTTGTCCGGTGCCACTTCAAGGTAAGGGCTTCATAGACCAGAGGTGGGCCCTGACCACTGGCATCTCCTACTGGGTGCTGGTAACGTACTGTTAGAAACAGCTTGGGATGTTGGCTTGTCGTGTAAGAATGAGGACACTAACTTGAAAGGAACTTGACAAGGTGAAGTTCACTTCTGCAGCTGCTGGGACTGGCTGGACTCAGGTTCACCATCTACAAAAGGAGATGGCTTAATGAACAGGATATAAGCAAAATTCAAGGAGCTTCTAACAGAATGTCTCAAGTAAAATGCAGCAGGATGGGCTGGGAATATGGCACAATGGTAGAGTGCTTGCCTAGCATGCATGAAGCCCTGGGTTCGATTCCTCAGTACCACATAAACAGAAAAAGACGCAAGTGGCACTGTGGCCCACTGTGGTAGAATGACAGCCTTGAGGGGGAAAAAAAGCTTAGATTTATTTTTTTTTTTTTTGTCGGTCGTGGGGCTTGAACTCTGGGCCTGGGCGCTGTCCCTCAGCTCTTCAGCTCAAGGTGAGCGCTCTACCACTTGAG